GCTACTTTTTTAATCAGAAAAAAATTTTTATAAATAAGTACATTCCTGATATTAAAAAGTAATATAGCTTGTAAAAATCATAAATACAGTAAAGCCTGACTAAAATTTATATGGCTTTGTTTTAAATTTTGAGATAATTTAATAATTTTGACTTGTGCTGGGCTTATTTCACTGAACTTTAGCAACTAATGAAAAATGTTTGATAACCAAATTTATAATATAAATAAAATTGCATCACAACAATTGAGTCTTATAAACCTCATTTTGCATACAAGAAGAATGAAGTAACTTGCTCCAAGATTCACTGCTAGTAAGTGGAGGTTAGAATTTCAACTCAGCTTGGTTTTGTTGTAGAGCCTTCCCTTCTGTCAGCAGTGCTGTGCTGCCCAGCGTTCTGTCTTTTTCCCTAGGACGCAGCCAAGAGGGGTTGAGCTCCCAGCTCGATGCATCTGCCACACACGGTTTTCTGAATGTTGGCGTCAGTGGTCATGGCCAGACTGTGGTCCGGAGGGTCCTCCAGGGAGGGCACCCTGAGTCTGGAGTCGTGACGGCTGTAGGCTTTCCATTTTCACTTTGAATAAACTTTATTGAGGTTGAAGTTAGTGTTAAAATATCCCTCTGACACTTGTTAAGACAGTGAGAAGGACTCTCTTCAAGACTTGAGTGGTGAGAGAGGTGGGCTCAAGTTCGAACACAGCACAGACACGGGGGGATTGAGAGCCTGCAGCAGAGGGAGGGTCGGTGGGACTGGAGGGCAGCGGGGAGCAGTTAGATCAGATCTTGCGGAGGGTCACGTGTCAAGGGTGGGGTTACTCAAGCTGACTCAGCAGGAATCTGGCTAAACTTGGTAAGGATGAACTTGCAGCTCAAGGTGGAGGCCTGTCGAGAAGAGGGCCCAGGAGCCTGAGTTTGTTCAGGGAGAGCGTGTTGGCCAGTAGTTCCGCGAGTCCCGTGTGGAGGCCTCTGATGCAGGGAGAGCAGCCTGGTGCAGCCGCCCTGACCACCTGCGGTGAACCGCAGCCCTGGCTGTGAATTCCAGTGAGCGCTGGGCAGTTGCCGTGTCTTGTGTGCTGGCCTGGGATACATGTTCATCCCTGAATTTTCAGTCCCTGTTCTTACCCTGCTGTGTTGAAAGGCTTCCTGTAAGTTCCTCTTTTTAGCTGGGGCTAATGGGGAGGAGAGGCGAGAGCAGACTTCGGATCCTCCGCTGAAAGGTGTGAGGGGCCTCATGAGAGGGCCCGGGCCCGGGCAGCAGGTTACCGCTGGGAGAACAGTGGTCCAAGAGTCAGACACGGAGCATGGGAAAAGAGGACTGTATGTTCTTCACTGAATCCTGGGACATTGTCCAAGAGATTCTTCCAATATTCAGTTTTCTGACAGAAGGTCCCTCTCTGTTTTACTTTGCTGTTTACTCTTCATGAGAGCTCAAACACTGTGATGATACACGTTAACTTGTAGATTTTTGTCTTGTAGAGACATTATTTTTGTCTGATAAAGATCTATCCAAAGGTTATGGTTCTATTTCTGTAGGACATTAACCCAATTCGTTTCCAACTTTAAAAAGCTCACTTTGGTCGGCCAGCTCTTCAGATGCGCTCGGAACTGGCTTCCTGTCTTACAGTCTCTTTCATTAATTTACATTTGCATGGGTTATGTCTTTCCACCTTTGAACATTATGCCTCGACACCTTTGGGATGCTGGATTTGGCTCAGGGTGGCCACAACTGCTGGTACTGGTTGCCTACAAACACTGCTCCATGGGAGGGTGGGGCGGTGTGTGTGTGTGTGTGTGTGCCCTGGGCTGTCCATGGGTCCACTGTTGCTGTGTCCAGAGTGACTCTCCATGTGTAGCTTTTGACCCCGTTCTCTCAGTGGCAGATAGGGAGCATATGTATTTTGCTGCCTCTCTCTTCCTTTCTCCAAGTGTTTGTCAGTTGAAAGACTGTGAATAAAGGAGCTTCTGGGCTTCTCCTTCCTCTTCTCTCCAGGCCCCATTTACTGGTAACCCAGTACACTGGGATTGGTCTGGATGTAAGGAGAACAGAGCCATTGCTAGGAGCGAGGCCTCCTCCCGTTCACGCACTCTAGCTGTACTTGTGCACCTGCTGCTTCTTCCTAAAATCTCCTGCACTGATGCTTTGTTTCCCAGACCAGTTTGTCAGCTACTCAAGGGCAGACTCTACTCTGTACTCTTTGCCCACAGTTGGAGTCTATAAACTTGTTGATTCCTGATTTCTCTTTATACACTTGCCCTTTGATGCCTTTATCTATTTATTCGTTCACAAGTGCTTGCCAGGCCCTCATGTGCCTGATACTGTGCTGGGTGTTAGGGATCTGACAGGGTGACCTCTTCTGCCCTGAGGCCCACATTAATGCACATGACTCCCAGACTGTATTTTGGGCAGTGGGACTCCTACCTAGTGAGACATAACTTGTTTTCCAGACAACAGTTATCTAGGTAATGACAATTTCCTGTATAATTTGCAGGTAGAATAAATGAAATTTTATATATGTGTGTGTATATTTGTGTATAATTTTACAATATATATATTGTATAATCAATCATATTATATGTATTTGCAATCGTCTTAAAAACTACCTTTAGAGTATATGTTGTTAGCAATAAAAGGCTTAAAAAACAGAAGAAAGTTGTTTAAAAAGGTAATATCCAGATTTCTCTTTTTAAGCATCTCCTTTCACACCACACTGACTGCATTGATGGCGGGCTAACACTGCATTTAATGCTTTGAAGAGCCGAAGTGCCGGAAGGCATCCTCTAATGCCCAAGTCCCCAAACCTTTGCCTATCCAAAATTGTCTTTGTGAATGCCATAGAAGAGCACATTGTAACATAACATTCCTGAGGTAATTTGTGATTCAAACTGTGAGAAATTGGCAGTGTGGAAGACAGGAAAAACCAGTACATGTTTAAAAAATAGTGAGCTTTTCACTACTGGGGTAAGCAAGGAGGAAAAACATTTGAATAAAATCAAAGCAGAGGCTGAGCCCGACTTCTTGCAAAATAAAGAGGAGAGTGTTTCAAGAAACTCAGTGTTGTCACTTGCAGTTTTAGTAGAAAAATGCTTGAAACAAAAATGTCTTTTTATCGGTGAGGGAAGGCAGCCAACGCAAATGTGGCAGAGCTGCTGCACAAATGGGCCCACGTCTGTGTGGGGTGGGAGTGAAGGCGGTGCCGGTGCTTTGCCCTCCTGGCTCCATCTCCACGTGGACTTGGTGGGAGGGTCCTCAGCACCCGCACGAGCTCGGGGAAAGAAGCAGGTCTCCTCTCGCAGTATAGAAAGAGTCCACCTCCCGCTGGTTAAGATCTACCTTGGATCCACTCGTCGTCCACAGACCTTGCCTTTTTTTTTTTTTTTTAAATCCATTTTGGTATTTTGTACAGTCTGACATTGTGTTCTGAAACATATCCCCTTTCCACACCAGGCCTGGAGGGCCCGACTGGAGAACTGCCTTATGGCTGAGATAATCATGTTATGAAGTCCATCTCCTGCTTCAGAAACACACCTTCCCAAGATGAACCCACTGCTAGTAATAGGTGTACAGTGGTTTGGGGTATATGGATCCATTATGTGTAACAACTTAATGAGCAAGGCCTCACTCAATTTCAACTTAAATGTGTGCTATTTGTGTCCACTCAGTTTTTAGATATTCTTTATTATTAATGGCTATTAAACAGATAACTTCAGATTCTCTTAGGGGCAAGGGTCCATTAACAGGCAGCAAATTCTTAAAAGATAATCCACGGGGGGGGGGCCTTTTCCCAGCCTAGTAATTTATTTACTGAAATAGGGCTTACAATTTTTTACCCGCCAGCGTTGTTTTGAAGAGTGGAGACCTGTGCTTTGAGTGCCCAGCGCTGTCTGGCAGGAAGTGGGCACAGACAGGAGCTGTTACTGCTGTTTGTGGGCAGCTTGGGGCTCCTGCCCTCAGTCCCCAGTCTGGGAGAGGCACCATTTGCTCTTGTGCTGCTGTTTGCATAGTAAGGATATTTTTGTTTTGTTTTATCAGAGGACCGGAAGCCCTGATGACAAGAATAGGCTGTTAAGATAAAAGTTGTCTGACCACTGATGGATGTTACTGGCTATATTACATCTTTTATTATGCATAAGGACATCATACTTATTACATAAAGTACTCTGCTTAGATTTTTTTCCAGATTGTGAATTCTGATCCTTTGAACTATTTTGTGTGTTTTTACATTTTAGAATGGGCAGTTTTCCATCCAAAGTCAGTCAGTCACCACCTCAAATGTTGCTGCATTTGGCCTAGTGAATATTCATGTAGTTTCCTTTTTAACACCTTTATTGAGATGCACTTGATGCACAGGAAACTGCACGTATGTACAGTGTATGATTCGAGAGGTTGAGCATGCGTTCACCCGTGACACCATCCCCACAGCCAAGGTGGTGAATGTGTCCATCACCCTGTCTCCGCTCTGTCAGTCCCTGTCTCCTCCTGCCCCACTGCAGACGACCACAGGGCTCTTGCCACTGCGGGCAGCTCAGCTCTCAGTGGGCTAGGCTTTTACATAGGTGGGATCGTGCAGTGTGCACTCCTTGGTCCAGCTTTCACTCAGCAAAATTATTTTGAGAAACATCAGTGTTGCATGTATCAATTTTACAATGTTTTCAAAATTAACTTCTGTTTGAGCTCCTAGTTGGGCAGTATTACTTCTTTGAAATTGTTAACCTGTTTTCGAACTTTGTTGAGAAATCTCTTGCATAATAGTCTTAGTGACAATCTTAAAAGAGTGCTGCCCTGTGCTGTCCTGGTGGAAGTCCGACTCAGCACCTCACTCGCAGGTGCAGCCCCACGGGTGTGTCCGGGGAAGCCTCTCCAGGCTCCTGACCAGCGTGACATGCTCTGTGTCGTGCTGGAGACAGAGAGTGAATGTTAAATATTGTCTGTGTTTGCTCTGAAAGGCGCCGTATGTCTGGTGATAACGCCATAAGTACTCATTTCTTTTCCTTTCCAGATCCTTTCCAGGAGGTCAGTTATGGGTGTGAGAGGCTTACAGGGATTTGTGAGAAGCAGCTGCCCACATATATGTATGGTAGTAAATTTCAAAGAGCTGGCAGAGCACCACCAAAGCAGGCATCCTGGAGGGACTCCTACCATTGTGGTCGACGCCATGTGTTGCCTCAGATACTGGTACACGCCGGACTCTTGGATCTGTGGTGGCCAGTGGCGGGAATACTTTTCTTCTTTGCGAGAATTTGTGAAAACTTTTACAGCTGTTGGCATCAAGTTGGTATTCTTCTTTGATGGCATGGTGGAGCAGTCCAAGAGAGACGAGTGGGTAAAACGAAGACTCAAGAACAACAGGGAGATAGCCAAGATCTTCCATTATATCAAGTCCCACAGGGAGCAGCCTGGCAGAAACATGTTCTTCATCCCCTCAGGGCTGGCCATATTTACTCAGTTTGCTTTGAAGGCCCTGGGTCAGGAAACTCTGTGTTCGTTACAGGAGGCTGACTATGAGGTGGCTTCCTATGGCCTCCAGAACAACTGTCTTGGGATTCTTGGAGAAGACACTGACTATTTAATTTATGACACCTGCCCCTACTTTTCCATCAGTGAGCTCTCCCTGGACAGTCTGGACACCATCATGCTGTGCCGAGAGAAGCTCTGTCAGAGCCTGGGTCTCAGCCTGTCTGACCTTCCTCTTCTGGCCTGCCTGCTTGGCAACGACATCATCCCAGAAGGCATGTTCGAAAGCTTTCGTTACAAGTGCTTGTCTTCTTATACCTCTGTGAAAGAGAACTTTGACAAAAAAGGTAACATTATCTTAGCTGTAGCAGACCACATATCTAAAGTTCTTCGGTTGCATCAAGGTGAGAAGAAGCTGGAAGAGATGTTACCTTTGGGGCCAAACAAAGCTCTTTTTTATAAAGGAGTGGCATCATATCTTTTGCCAGGACAGAAATCTCCATGGTTTTTCCAAAAACCTAAAGGTGTAGTAACTTTGGACAAGCAGGTACTATCCATGAGTTCAGATCCTAAATCCAAGCAAGAAGTTCCCGTGTGTACACACCCTGAATCCAAGCAGGAAGTTCCCATGTGTACAGACCCTGAATCCAAGCAAGAAGTCCTTTTGTATACACACCCTGAATCCAAGGAGGTTCCCTTGTACGCAGACCCTGAATCCAAACAAGAAGTTCCCATGTGTACAGATCCTGAACCCAAGCAAGAAGTTCCCTTAGGTACACACCCTGAATCCAGGCAAGAAGTTCTCTTATGCACACACCCTGAATCCAAGCAGAAATTACCTGTAGGTACGGACCCTGAATTTAACCTAGAAGCACCCCTGTGTACAAACCCTGAAATTAAACAAGAAGATCTTGTAAATATGGGGCCTGAAGTCAAGCAACAAATAACTGTGGTTTCGGATCCTGAAATCTTAAAGGTATGTAGATGTGCCCACCCAAATCTAACATGTCATGATTGAAAGTGCACCCATTGATAGATTTGACAGTGAATATTTATTGACTGCCTGCAGTGGTTAAGACACTGGGGCGGGGGTTGGGGGTGGCAGGCACAGAACTGAACCCTCGGAGTTTAGCTAGGAAGTAAGATACAATACATGTGAAAACCCACATTATAAACTCTGTCTCACGTTGTTACATCACTGTTACAGAGAGAGTGCTCGAAATTTGAAAGAGGTAATCACTGTGGGTTAAGTACAGAGAGAAGCTCGCAGAGGAGGGCTAAGTGAAGCCAGGCCTTCATGGGGCTGAGATTTGTTGTGAACAGGTGAAGATGGGGTCTGTGGGAGCGCCGGAGGGGTGGCGTGTAGAATCTGTCCCCTCAGGCACAGTTCTGGGACAGGTAGCAGAGGCATGGGGTTTGAAGGGCTAAGTAAGGAGAAAACAGCTGGAAAAGATAGACTGCGGCCAGATTGTGGATTTTGGTACATGCCATGCTAGGAATTTGGATGTAGTCCTGAAGGTAATATAGAGCCTTGGTAGTTTTTGAAGGAGAGCCACTGTTTATTAACTGCTTGCTGCATGTAGGTTCTGTCTGTGTGCAGTGCGTGTATTTTAGCTCATTGAATCCTCTCGTTCTCCTTGGGTTACAGAGAAGGTGCATGTCCCCATGAGTGCCCCGAGGCATCTCAGCAAGTGCAGAACCAAACATGACCACAAGCTTTCATTGTTCTGGCATTGACTGTCACCATCTTGCACAAGTTAAAAACCTGGGAACCATCTCTCCCATTTTTCGTAACCAGTCTCTCCCAAGTCTTGGTACTTTGATCTGTTCGGTGGCTCTTACCACCTTAGGCCAAAATATCGCTTGTGTGAATGACTGCAGTCATCTCTGAACGCTCTT